GGGGACAGGGACGAGGATGGGGACGGGGACGGGGGCGGGCTCAGGGCTGTGGGCGGGGGCCGGCATGCGAACGGGGATGGGCAGGGTGGCGGGGCGGAGGCTGGTGTGTGTGTGTGTGTGTGTGTGTGAGAGAGAGAGAGAGAGAGAGAGAGGCTGTGTGTGTGTGTGTATGTGTGGGCAGGGGTGGTTGCAGGGTTGCGGGGACGGGACTCTACTTGGATCCGTTTTCATGCTTTTACCGGAATTTTCAGCAATGGGCGAAACCCCGATGGAGCAATGAGTGGGGGCGGGTGCGGAGGGTGGGGTTGCAGGGGCGAAGTTGCGGGGACACGGTTGCAGGGACAGGTTGCGCGAGCGGGGCGCGGTGACAGGGATCTGGGCCGGGGATGCGGGGGCGAGGTTACTGGGGTGGGTGGTGCTGGGGCCGGGGACGGGATTTGGCCAAGGTGGGCCTATGCGGGGACGAAATATTTTATTTTTCCCCCGAGGCCCCCAAACCGTTGATGCTCAGCAGCTCCGTACGTTTTAGACCATTGGGAACACGCTGAGCAACTTTTCCTGTTTGCAAAATCTGGTCACCTGCCTTCTCCACACCCATCGCCGATAGCGAAAGGGGTGGTCCCTGCACGGGGATGCGGGGACGGGGACCCGGACCCCGAGTTTCTCCCGAGGATCCCTCCATGACAACCCTGCCATGGCCTGGGCAAGTCGTATGGCTGAATGGTAGCCCTCGATGGTTCATAGACAGAGGTGGGGCAAGTCCCTCCAGTGGGGGTTTAGAGTTGGTTTCAAGCACGTACCTTTTGCCGCCATCCGATCTGAACATCTCACGGCAGCACTGTGGCCATATTCAATTTTACTGAAAAAGAACAGCAACCCCCGCTAGCCGAACTTAGCCCCTGAGCTATAACGCCACAAAGGCAAGGCTGGCCTCCCAAGAAAAGAAAGGACGAAGAAGATGGAAAAACAAAAAGAGCTAATGGGCCTACAACTCTGAAGGCGGAGTCGCACTATTCTGCCCTTTCAATAGAAAATAGAAAAAGAAAGAAATAGGACCGACAACTCTGGGGGGGCCATCACACTCTTCTGTGTAGGCCTGAGCGCATCTGGCCGCAATCACATCCGGAGTGGATTCAGAAAGTCTTGGGGCCTCATTCCAGTCCCAGCCAAATGTGCGAATGAATCTTCCGGTAGAACCTGGGAATATATATCGCCATAATTTTTGTCTTTTGTACATGTGGTGATTAGTGGAGCGAGGCCCTTGGTCTCACCAGGCGCCTCACTTACTTTGTGTGGAATCAGGCCCTCGCTCCACCACTCACGAAATGTGCAGAATGAGAATGAATCTTCCGCTAGAACATGGGAAGATACACCACCCTCGAGGCGCTCAAGTGCAGATCTGTATTTGGACAGTTCCTGCGTGTATGGACTACGCTCGATAATGAAAACAACAACAAAAGAAATAGAAATGAACAAAACAGGTTTCCATCCAAACGGTCCACTATGTACCTGTATTCGAGCAGGACCTCCCCAACCAACACAAAAGCGGCTGTGAAACCTCACGATAAACAAAAGTTTGTGTGTCGCAGGGAGAAACAACCGATCGAAAGGCACTTTCTCGCTCTGCTTTTTCTTGGGACCGCACAGGAGCAGCGCCTTTTTCCCAACACTGGCAGCAGGGTCTCGCATGGGAGTGGCATGCAAGTCGATAGGGAAAGAAAAAAAAAAAAAAGGAACAAGAAGGGAAAAAAGACGAAAAACTGAGGGTGCGGTCACACTATTCTGCGTAGGCCTGGATGCATCTGGCCGCAATCATGTCCAGAGGATTCAGAAAGTCTTGGGGCCTCACTTCACTGCTCACCAAATGTGCGAATGAACCCTCCGGTAGACCATGGGAAATTTGGGAATATATACCACCATAATTTTCAATTTTGGTCTTTAAATTTGTGCATGTGGTGAGTAGTGGAGTGAGGCCCTTGGTCTGAGTAGGCGCCTCACTTTGTGTGGAATCAAGGCCCTCGCTCCACTACTCACCAAATGTGCAAAATGAGAATGAATCTTCTGGTAGAACATGAGAAGATACACCACCCTTCTTTTTGTCTTTTGTGCATGTGGTGAGTAGTAGAGCGAGGCGCTCAAGCGCGGATCTGTATTTGGACAGTTCCTGGCCTTATGTGTGTGCATGGGGGGAGGAGGTCCTGAGACTGACAAAGTACAGACTGTACCTCGACCGGGTAACCAGCCTGGAAATCATACCTGGATGTGGTAGCCCGTGGATGAAACCGTTGGATAAGCAGTTGTGCTGGACAAGAGCAGTGTGTGACTACTGCCTGTGTGGCAGATGCCTTTGTCTGGTGTTGTGCGTGTGTGTTTGTGTGTGTGTGCTGCATGCATGTGTGTGTGTGTGTGTGTGTGTGTGTGTGTGTGTGTATGTCAGTTGAAGGACACTACAGCCATGCAGGGTGTGTGTGTGTGTGTGTCAGTTGAAGGACATTACAGCCATGCAGGGGTGGGGTGGATATCAAGACCGGCATGAATCCAGTTTTATACACCGTGCCATGACTGTAGTGATTAAGAAACTCTGTTCTTGAAGCTGAGGGCGCGTGTTCGAATCCATGCGTGCACAGAGGAGGTCCTGCGGCTGATAAAGTACAGACACTATGAAAAAGCAAGCAAGCAAGAAAGAAAGAAAAAAACGAAACGAACGAAACGGGTTTCCATCCAAGCAGGCCACTATGTATTTGTATTCCAAGCGGGCCACTATGTATTTGTATTCGAACAGGACCTGCCCATGCCTGGCCAACCAACGACACAAAAGCGGCCATGAAACCTCGTGAAAAACAAAAGTTCGCATGGTGCAGGGGGAAATGAAAGACTATTTCTTACACTGCGTTTTCTTGGGACCACACAGGACCAGTGCCTTTTTTCCAACACTGGCAGATACGTGGACAACCTGCAGCGTGTGGATCCCTCTGCTGCTCGCCGATATGCTTTTACATATCGGTTCATTGATGATGTTCTTACCTTTGATTGTCT